AAGCTAACGTTCCTTCGATGCATGTTTCGGAAGACCTTTACGTCTATCTCTGTGTTTTGGTTCTCTGCCGTAGTACCTAGGAGTCTCATACTGTTTCGTGTAAGAATATCTCACTAAGGAGGGCGAGGAGAAAACAAAAGGTGCCTTAAACTTTTGTCCGCCACTTTATGTAGGAAAAGCGAAACGTACGCATATAATTGCGAACTAAACTTACTGAAAGCAGAGATTGAGCTTCTTGTCCCTTGCGCGTGTACTCAGTTAAAGAGTTGCACATAAACAGACAGTTGCACTGCAAACTCTTTTTGTGTGTAAAAGTGTATTCAGAAATCGGGAAGAGTGTCATTATATCGACAATGATTTTCTTCTTGTAACAAAGGCTATACACAGGTAATAACCGTCAAGGTAAGCAGATGATAAGACCATCAAAAAATACACAATTATCTAATTATGCGTAGTCATTCATTCCGGTTCATAATACATTAAACCAGAAAATTAATCAACATTAGAACAAGATGCAAGTACAACGAGTTACGTTTACCTTGTACAGCGTAATGACGTCGTCGGGATCCCGACATCTTTCGGACCCTGTAGCTCCGCTGGTGGTTTTCACAGTGTATTACACTATATTCACCAGTAGACATCAAACACACTTCGTTTACTTTTCTTCAATCTTACTTTTCTTCGGACACGAAAATAAATGAGCCCGGAAAATAGAGCGAATTGATCCTGTTTCCTTTAATCAACAAAAACAAACATGGAAATGAGCTCGATTCAAAAAATAAAAAATTTATCTTCACAAAAGACAGAAATGAGCCCTGTAATTTAGATTTGATAAATACAAAAATAATCAGTTTAGGAGCATTCTTTTAAAATCCATGTTAGAAGTGAGAAGAAATATTCTTTGAGCACCACAAAATTAGACTTTTGGGCACCAAATTAGTTATATGTCAAATGAGCACACAAAATAAGACAAATGAGCATCAAAAAACAAGGTATGTTTTAATAATTACGCAAACTAATTCAAACTCAACAAATTGATGAAATTTTGTAATGCGGTTTCACTAATCGATAAGTTTTGGCATTTTTTTCGTTTCCTTGTGGGGATAGTAAGTGCTCAACAAGCAGTTTTTCCACCAGAGGAGTCCGTGAGATCCGAGCCTTACCTGGTTTCCACCAATTGAGGCACAGCCTCACTTGATTTTGGACTGAACACTCTGTTAAATTTTGTCAATATATCTGGTCTGATTAAATTCATCGCTGAGTAAAGAATAGTTTGAACAGATAGATGGAGATAGATAGATAGAACTCTTTTAACAAATTGTTGTTTTTCTATAGATCGTGG